TTTTCAACTGGGCATCTCTTTCACATAGGGAGATGAAAATATATTGTCTTTAAGTAGTTGCTTTTACATAAGGGATACTTCAGAGACCAGGTAGCATAACTAAACAAGAGTGTAATTAAACTTCTTCCTATGTTCGTTAGCTCTGTTACTGGTAACACTTTTTCCAACTGAACCATTTTATTAGAATAAGGCATTCTGCAATGCTGCTTATAATCCCCTTTGCTTAAAAAGTGAGGTCAAATGATACTAAGATACAAAAGATTAGCATGCACAATCTTCTTCTATTTCTAGTTAATACTGTCATCAATCCAGAAAGAATTAAACAGAGGGGAACAACAATTTATAGGAGTTCCCTTCCAATTCCAATAATTCCCATTGGTAATAGAACTGAAATGCTAAATACTTGGCAGACTTACTGAAAAAAATTTCAGGTTGGGCAGTTGAGATAAAATCATGACTAAACACTTGCCAAATCCACCCTCACTTACCTACTCTCAGCATTACTCCCCCAAATAATTCCTCAAATAAAAAACTCGATGAGTCAAACCCAAATTTAAAGTATAGGAGCCAAAAAACAAAAATAAAAACCACTTGCTGGGGCAACTAACCAAGGGTTTGGGGTGTGAACCACAGACCAGAGACACTTGCTATCTGCTCTTCTATTTTCCCAACAAGTAGCAGATGTGTTCCCATCAACCAGCTATGCAAGAGATGGTGAGGATAAGCCGTTTTGGAAAACTGCTTAGAACAGCAAGTCTTGGAGCAATAGTCAAATCATACTAAACCACAGCAGCTTATAATCAACCACAACCTTATCTGTCCTGGATATGTATCTTACAGTTTCGTGCACAAGTTACCAAAGACGAAAGTCTTATGTTTGGCAAATTGTATATAATCCATAAATACTATGCAGTTATTGCTACCATGCCTTCTTTCACTGATAAACCATTCTCTTCCTCTTTTTAGAAGGAAGTTCAACTTTCATATATTAGAGACCCTAGCCTATTCTCCTACTTGGGATGCTACTTGATGGACAAGGTGGGGCAGTTATAGTGAAATGTTTGAAAAATACTAGGTTAAACTAAGTTTTAAACAGTTCCCTTTAAGCAGGACTTCTCAGATCCTTTAATATGACAATGTGCATGATTATATGTCTCCAAGGAGGTAAGGGGATAAAGTATGGAGCAAAGCTCACTTGCTCATGGAATCCTTTTCACGGAACATCTTGTGGGATAGGGTTTTATGAAACACACTGGGAAATGCTGATTTAGGTATACGTTGGTTTCATTTTTATTATTTTTGGCAGCTGGCTGGTAAGGGCATCTGAATCCTTGGCCTTGGTGTTATCAACACGTTGGTTTTTATAGGCTAGCTTCCTACTGTACTTTGCAACACTGATTCTATGAGAAAAAAAATCATGTAATCATGATCTGAGCTTGAAACAATCTACTTAGAAACAAACTTGCAGAACACAACTGAATCACATGCACTTAGACATCTGCAGACACTAAGTATTTTTGAAACCCCAATTTTCAATTTTTCACATTAAAATAAAAATCAGAATCTCAAACTAAACATCTGAAAAATGTTACTCCTAAAGCATACAGTATGTATCAATAATCCAAATAAAGCTTGTAAGATGCAAGTTCTAAAATAAATTTTCTAGAGGCTGGTCAGTTAGCTTAGTGGGCAGACCACCATGCTGACAGCACCAAGGTCAAGGGTTTGGATCCCCATACAGGCCACCCACCAAAAAAAAAAAAAAAAAAAAAAAAAAAAAAATCAGTGTTCATGTATAAAATAAGTTTTCTGCATCTAAAAAAGTATGGATAAAGACCATGAAGTTCAGTTAGATCTGGATTTGAATCCTGTCCTTCAGCATGACACTGAAACTGAATAACATGGCCAAGAGCATTTTTCTCACTTATAAAGTGCAGATAAGAATGCCTGCTTTGTTTGGTGGTTTTGAGTATTAGATATGAGGAACCTAACAATGCTTGGCAAGAGCAAATAATACATTCTCAATAAATGGTAGCTCATTATCATTTCTACGACAACTAAACAAACTACTATGCCACATGTAGTCCAAGATCCACTCCTGGTATCCAGAACATCTGGTCAATGAAATATGGTCTCAAGATAGCTAGGTAGCAAGAAAATATAATCCACACACAGGATATTTTCATATTATTTTATTACAATATGTATACTGTATACTAAAAGGGAGAAAATGCAAACAAAATGAAAATCTAGTGGAAAACGGCATTTTGTTCTAATCTTCAACTTAAAGTTGCTCTTATTGTAACAATCCATTTATCCCATTGTTCTTTGGGTTTTAAACAGCCATCCCTGCTAATTTTTAGACTGACAAATGAATAAACAAAGTGACACCCCGGAGTTTAGCAGAAGTGATATTGATTAAAAAGTTGAAAGTAAAATCTATCTTGGCTAGAACTGAACTGTGAATACAGATAACTTTCTCCAAAGGAAAATCTAACTGAATCATAAGGGTTAATTTTTTTGACTAGTCCAATACCATGTCAATTAGATATTCATGACTTGATGAAAATNGGGGCCACACCCCTAACTGCCCATCCGGCTATACGGTACTCAACCCTCAAAGAAAAGGCAACCTAAGACAGGGGCCACACCCCTAACTGCCCATCCGGCTATACGGTACTCAACCCTCAAAGTAAGGGCAACCTAAGACAGGGGCCGTATCCTTTTTAAACCTGGCTGCGTGATACTCAACGACGGGTAAGACCTTTAAATAAAGGCAACCTAGACTGAATAACATGGCCAAGAGCATTTTTCTCACTTATAAAGTGCAGATAAGAATGCCTGCTTTGTTTGGTGGTTTTGAGTATTAGATATGAGGAACCTAACAATGCTTGGCAAGAGCAAATAATACATTCTCAATAAATGGTAGCTCATTATCATTTCTACGACAACTAAACAAACTACTATGCCACATGTAGTCCAAGATCCACTCCTGGTATCCAGAACATCTGGTCAATGAAATATGGTCTCAAGATAGCTAGGTAGCAAGAAAATATAATCCACACACAGGATATTTTCATATTATTTTATTACAATATGTATACTGTATACTAAAAGGGAGAAAATGCAAACAAAATGAAAATCTAGTGGAAAACGGCATTTTGTTCTAATCTTCAACTTAAAGTTGCTCTTATTGTAACAATCCATTTATCCCATTGTTCTTTGGGTTTTAAACAGCCATCCCTGCTAATTTTTAGACTGACAAATGAATAAACAAAGTGACACCCCGGAGTTTAGCAGAAGTGATATTGATTAAAAAGTTGAAAGTAAAATCTATCTTGGCTAGAACTGAACTGTGAATACAGATAACTTTCTCCAAAGGAAAATCTAACTGAATCATAAGGGTTAATTTTTTTGACTAGTCCAATACCATGTCAATTAGATATTCATGACTTGATGAAAATATTGTTACTCAGTTGCATTCGACTACCTAAAATCCTACTGAGCATGCTATTTGGCATGTCTTACTCCTCTGAGATAATTATCTACTTTCTGAAACAGAAAATGAGAATTTGCTTGTAATTTATGTTTCAAGAAATAGTTTGCAGGAAACACCAAAAAAATCAGTTGTTAAAAGGTCTTACCTGTTCTTCATTGTACAGCAACTACTTGTACAAATAAAAAGTATGTGGATACTTTCTAAGAACTCAAAAACCAAAAACAGATGTATAGGTGCGTGAATATTTATATGTACAGACAATTTCCACATCCCCTAAAACAAGTTTAAACAGCTAAGATAACCCCAACATTCTAAATTCAGAAAGCAGAGATAAACACTGTTTTGTTTATAAATCAGTGGTATTATTAGCTAAAATGTTTAGCTAGAATGTTACACCTGCAGTTCAGAGGTACTTTGATTATATCTCGTTAAAAAAAAAAGACATTCAAAATAATAAGCACATTCTTCTAACAGCAAAGAATTCTCCCACTTTTTATTTAGACACAATGGTATTTCCATAAACTTACAAGTGGAAGATAAGCTGTTCAATAAAAGCCATTTCATATATATAATATACAGAAATTAATTAAAAAGTCTGTTCATATACAGATTCTTTTGGTACTAAAAAAATTAAGATACAAGTAAATGACTAGAAATGAAACCATCACAAAACTAAGATACACAGGAACTGCACTTCATTTCAGGGAAAAAATTTAAATGATTCTTACTCTGTTAGAAGAATAAAGTACATTTCTCATCATATACACTTTCCTATTCCCTTAAGTCAGGGACTACTTAAAGTTTTTTTTTTGTTTGTCTTTTGTTTTAATGGTGACCGGTAAGGGGATCTTAACCCTTGACTTGGTGTTGTCAGCACCATACTCACCAAGTGAGCTACCTGGCCATCCCTATGTGGGATCCAAACCCATGGCCTTGGTGTTATCAGCACCGCACTCTCCCTAGTGAGCCATGGGCTGGCCCCTTAAAGTTTTTAAATTAAAAAATGTTCAGGCTTACTTCTGTCTGAACATTCAGGAACAATCATATCACTGCTTATACACAATTCTCTCATTATGCAAAAAAACCTGTTGTTTTCTAAGGTCTGATTAAGTCAAACTAATAATAGCAATTTAATCAGTAATCTGTAAATCAGAAAATTGTAGAAATTTAGCAGTTGAATTGTTTTTCCTGCCTATAGTACTACTCCTACTCAATCTATTTTCTTTATGTATTAGAAGAATAGGCATTGATGATTAAAATAAGAATTTCATTATTTCAGGAAATGACAGAATATGAGAGAAGGAAGAGTTCCTTTAAAAGGTAAAGAATTGTGTGTGTATGTGTGGAAGAATAGGAAACAAAAGCAGGAGGTTAAGACAGGCATTTAAAGGGAATGTTAAGATAGCTACATTAGAATCATATTTATCTAAAAAACTGCTGAAGCCCACCCAGTGTACAAAAAAAAAACACCCCAAAATCCAAAAAACAGAGCAGACATTAGTGCAAGTTTAACCTAATAATTTATTTGTGGAAAAAAAAGCTAGTTTTGATGAGAAAAAGTTTAATCCTTTCCTTGTAAACACAAAGAAACTCAACAGGAATTTGAAAGGTAGTAGGCCAGAAAATGCAACAGTAATTCTTATAATCCGTTTCAATTAAACAGACAAATCAAATTGAAGACAGTGTTAAAATATATTTCAACTTGAATATTTATCAGCCTATATATCCTGTTGTTCCAACTGGCTTTTGATTAAAAAAAAAACCAAACCATTAAACCTTTTATAACAGCTACCACATCTAGAGGTGATGAAAATAAATTAGTTCCCCTCTCCCCCAAAAAGATATTGTTTAACCTCTAAAGCATAAAAAGCTATATAATATCTTATACAAATTAACCAGTGTTTTATAAAAGTAAAGCAGATTTGGACTGATGACATTACACTGTATTTGTGGTGAAGTACTAGGCACAAGAATATACGCATCAAATAGGCATTTTCAGTCTAATCAGTCTCTCAGGTTACCATTTAATTCTTGGCAATATATCATAACAGGTATGCATTTTGGTACTTAAGTCATGAATTGTGGAGAACAAGAAGCAGTGTATTATAATAACAGGGTTTGTATTTGACAACTGCAAGGTTGAACAAATCCCTTCTATGAACTTTGTGATTTGTTTTGCTGTTGGTCACCTGTAGTAGATCCTGCAAAGATAAAAGAAAAAAAGTCAATGTCACTTGTTGTATATTGCCAACCTTTAATCTACCTGAGCAAAAGTTCCCTTCTATTGGCATGACTGATAATTTTAAAAACAAATAAGGTATATTTCATGTAAGCTGAATTAGACTTTTTTTTTTGTCTTTTTCCGTGTCCGGCAACGGATTGCAACCCTCAGTGTCGCCCCCGTACCGGACCGGGACCGGCAACGGGATCGCAACCCTCGGTGTTGCTCCCGCGCCTCACTCAGCCAGTGAGCGGGAACCGGTCTGTATGTGGCAACAGATCGCAACCCTCAGTGTCGCCCCCGTACCGGGCTGGGACCGGCAACGGGATCGCAACCCTCGGTGTTGCTCCCGCGCCTCACTCAGCCAGTGAGCGGGAACCGGTCTGTATGTGGGATCCGAACCCTCGGGCGGGAGCGCCGCCGCGCTTCCCAAGCGGCGCACTACAGCAGTGCGCCACCGGGCCGGCCCTGAATTAGACTTATATGAAAGAATCCATATATACCCTAGTCTAAAGAGCAGAACAGGTGTGTCTACTTGGTGATAGGACAAATAGGTTTCAAATTGAACATTTCTGTGAAGAAATCACAGATGGAAAGCTAAGAGTTTATTACAACTCAAGTATCTGAAGCTATAAATTCCATGTATTACCTCAAAACTATAAAATATAGGCTGGCCAGTTAGCTCAGTTAGTTAGAGCATGGTGCTGATAATACCAAAGTTCAGGCTTTCATCCCTGTACCAGCCAGCTGCCCAAACCAAAACAAAACAAAACAAAAAACTGTAAAATACTACCTTAGAGTCTAATTATGCCACTTTTTTCCAATAAAACAGGTGGCAATAGAGGAAGAAGTTGGGGGGAGGTGGAGGGAGAAGACAGCCAATGCTTAAAAAGTAATGGGTTCTATAGAGCCTGGAGATTTTAAAAGCTGACAGAATTTTTTTAAGGGTTCAAAAAGAGTAGGGGATAAATAAGGAACTTATTTCCCTAAGCCTTATTATGTAGTCTTTCCTATCTTTATGGCTTTTATGATGCTAAGCAGAATATATTCCTATGTAAGGAGTATTTCATCGCCACTGAAGAAAAATCAGGCACTGAGCTAATACAAATTTTAAGCATCTATTATACATAAATGGAAAAATACATTATGTATTAAATGTGTGAAATATAATGTCTTACAAACAGAGATGGACAAAAGGCCAGAGTTATTTCTCAAAAGCCATGGCTTAAAAAAAAAAAAAAAAGAAAAGAAAAAAAGAAATAAATCCCTTTAATCTTGGGAACAGTGGTGGTGGTGCTAATTTCCAGTGGCAGATGAGGGTATTTGAGGGTATTCCTAGTGTCTTACGATAGTCACTAAGAGTTGATATTAAAAGTCTAAGTAGAAATTAATGAAAAGTTATAACCAAAGAAACATTTACTTAAATACATGAAAAGAAACCATTAAGATATAGGTAAAATGGGAAACAAAGGCCCCTGGGCAATTAGGAGATAGGTAATCTAAAAATGGATAACAGATTTTTAAAAAAGGAAGAGAAACATGTAACAACTACTACTTAAGATGAAGTTTGTTCAAGTTAAATGTAAGTTAAACATACTATGGTATATACAATGGAAATGAAATGCTGCATGAAGCAGACTAAAAGGCTAACGCATAATATGGGATAACAAAAAATATTGCAATGTTGACACTTGCCGAGACAGTGACTCATCAGGTTGTATCATAAGATTACTCATATTTCATACTATGCTCATCAAAACAACAGTATGATAATTATTTACTTTGCTAAGACTTAACCATTTTAGGCACCACAAAATAAGTTACACCTCCACTAAAAAAGCATCAGTTTCCAAGTACAAAGACTAGGTAATGGGCACATGAAAAAATCTTCATTAGTGATGCAAAAGATTCACCTTCATTAAATATCAGAATGACTGATCAAGAGTTGCTAGGACACAGGGACTGGTTGTCCAAGAAAAAAATCAAATAAATTGTCAAACCAACAAAGAATCATCATTGGAAAGATAGGACATACTTTGCATCTAAAGGGATGCCCAAACAAATCTTCCATATTAAAAGCACGTTTCTTTAAAAAAGTTTTAAACTTTAATTTAGATTTGTTATGACAAATAAAATATGACCTGAAATATTCAAAACAAAATATAGCTTAATATGAAGACAAACATGATTGCCTAAAGCCAAGTAAACCATTAAAAAGCAGCCATACAATGAAACACATAGTCTTAAATCAACTCTGGGAATAAAATCTTTATTATTTTGAAATTGGCCACAGGGGTTGAAATTTTAGAAACATTTGGCATAATAATAAAGTGAATCTCAGGAAAACTTTGAGGTTTTTCACAAGCTTAAAGCGAAATAAAGCAGGCACAGAGGATCACAAAAGTGTCAGTGATACTTTCAAAACATCTAACCTTCATTTGATTCTTCCATACTCATGCTTTCTCCATCTGCAGTCTCTAACATTTCTTCATCTTCCTCATCATCATTTAGGTCTTTTGAAATTAATTGTCTAGCTAATTTAATATTCAGTCCTTCATTGTAGTGAAGCTTCCTTTTCATTTCAAATTGTCGCTTTTTCTCTGCAAGATACAAAAAGCAAGCTTATCTCAAGGGCCAGCCCATGCCTGTTTTGTAAGTAAAGTTTTACTGGAACACAGTTATGCTTTTTTTTTTTTTTTTTTGTCATGCTTAAGACTGCTTTTGTGCTCAGTGGCAGAGTTGAGTAGTTTGCAATAGAGACAATACAGCCCACAAAATCTAAAATATTTACTATTTGGTGCTTTACAGAAAAAGTTTGCCAACCTCTCTCCTCTCTGCTTTTAATGGTTCAAGTACATCTCAATGGAAGAATAATAAGAGCCATAAGAAGTTGTATTTGTGAAGAAAATATAAAGGTATGGGAAAATTCTCCAGAAAGAGCTGAATGGGGGGAAACAGCAAGCTATAATACCACATACGAGGGTACTTCAAAAACTTTGTGGAAAAACAGAATTAAAAGATAAAAAACAGAATTAAAAGATAAGACAAATCTTACCATAAATGCTTTGAAGTACCCTGGTATATATTATGTACAAAGCCTATGCATGCATGTGCACACACATGCATGCACACACACTCAAGTGGTTAATTCCGGGTCAAGAAACAGTGGAGTAGTTTTAACATTTTCATGTTTTCTACTTTATAATTAAGAAAAGATTTCTTTAAAAAATCCTTATAATCAACTGGCCAGTGAGCTCAGTTGGTTAGAGCACAGCCTTGTAACACCAAGGTTAAGGGTTTGGACTTCCATGCTGGCCTGCGGCCAAAAAAAACCCCCAAAACCAAAAAAAAAAAAAAAAAAAAAAAAAAACCCTTATCATCTGTTAAGAAACTGCCATGATTTAAAATACTGCTGGCTAAAAACATAACCTCACTCCCAGGGTAATTTTAAGAAAAGCTTGTTATAAAGGAATGATGAACTGATTCCAGATTATTCTTTAATTTATAGTCTTCACCAGAGAAACAAAAAGCTGGCAGCAATTCAACACCACTGACCACATTTTATTAATAGAAAAGCACTTTAAAGACCAATTGTCTATGAAGAAATAATTCTCAGATTTTAAAATTTCTTAGACCAGTAAATTACTACACTTGTTCTTGGCCAAAAGGCCAAGAAGTGATTAGACCAGCAAATTTAAAAAAAAAGGGGGAGTTGACATAAAATTGCCAATTGTTTATTTTGTCAATGAAGAGTATTAAAACTAATTCACCATTGTTTTATCAAACATTTCATTAAGATATTTTAATGTCAAAAAAACAGAGACATTTCTCAGAATAAGGCTATTCAAAGTACTTCCTTAATGTCCTCTAATTCCTAAGTTTTATTTATTTATTTATTTTTATTTTTATTTTTTTTTCCTTTTTGTCTTTTTTCGTGACCGGCAACGGATCGCAACCCTCAGTGTCGCGCCCGTACCGGACCGGGACCGGCAACGGGATCGCAACCCTCAGTGTCGCGCCCGTACCGGACCGGGACCGGCAACGGGATCGCAACCCTCAGTGTCGCGCCCGTACCGGACCGGGACCGGCAACGGGATCGCAACCCTCAGTGTCGCGCCCGTACCGGACCGGGACCGGCAACGGGATCGCAACCCTCAGTGTTGCTCCCACACCTCGCTCAGCCAGTGAGCGGCCGGTCTGTATGTGGGATCTGAACCCTTGGCGGGAGCGCCACTGCGCTCCCAAGCGGCGCACTGTAGCAGTGCGCCACCGGGCCGGCCTAATTCCTAAGTTTTAAATATCATCTATACTTATATTTTAAAAACATATTTTTAAAAAATGTTCATGTTACTAATAGATCTGCAACATAACCAGCTACTTTAGACAAGCCCAAGTACAAAGCAGCGCCGCCCACCTCCTCCCCTTCCCTCCCTCTTCCCTTTAGGAGAAGTCTCCTGACTTAAACAGAAACCCCTGTTGCTTCCACAATGACGCAGTTCTCCACCGGATACACGTTAGCAAAATAACCTTCCTTGATGGTAACAGCCAGCCCTTGGCGCACTATATAAGCTCTACCACCCCCACACTGGTGCTGTCCACCATTTTCAGGGCAGCCCCGGGCTGTTCCCCACTTTGGGCATAGCCTGGCAGATTCTTTTCCTTTAATAAAGCTTGGACAGTACCCAGCATCTCGGCTCACTTTCTTTCAGTTACTACTCATCAATCACTTTTCAGCTTCTACCCAGGTTGGAAAAGGGAAAGTTCTGAGACTAACATCCATATCACTCTATAAACATTTGTTTCAAGTTACCAAGATCTTGCCAGCATCTCTTTCCTTCTCTACTTATAAACTACTTTTGTGATTTGTTTTGCTCTTTGAAGGTACAATATTGTAGACAGAATTTAAAAAGAAAAAAAGAGAGACCAAAAAAACCACCAAATCCTCATGACTTAATTTTTAGTGATGTCTTAGGTATTCAGAAGATGTAAAAACAATACTAAAAAATAATAAAAATAGTGGTTCTAATTGCCTCCACTACCAGTTATATTTACTAAAAAGGTAACACTTTTTTAAATTACAAAGTAACACATTTTATATCTCATGAATTTTTGTAACCAATTAAAAAAAGAAAAATAGCAATAACAATTAACCTACATTAAAAACAAAAACAAAACAAAGTTAACACACATTCATAGTAAAAACTGAAAAAAAACCACTCAATTTCCTCAGTCAGAAATTACCATCAACAACATTTTATAACTCTAGACTTTTTCTTACAAATGGATTTTAGAAAAATAAATTATATATTGCAGTATGGACTGATTTTTCACTTAATATATTGTTAGGATGATTATATATCCCAGTTTGCTGAGGGCAGTGTCAGTTTATGCCTAGTGTTTGAGAGAACTATGCTAATGACTCTTTCACTCTTAAAATGACCCTGTTTAGGCAATAAAGCATATAAACATACAGTAAACATTGTGCCATGTACAGATTTACATAATTTTTAAAAGGTTTTAAGGTAATAGTGTTATAATTTAATTCCCTGTTCTCAGTCAAAGATTTCTGATTTCCCCCTTTGCATTTTCAATGTTTTTATGATGTAATAATATATATATATTTGTGCATTTATTCTATTATTTTCTCAATATAGGCCACTGCCTTTCAAACTGTGCATCATGACTCTTTAGTAAGCCACAACAAACATTTATTTATTTTTACTTTTATTTTTTGTCCTTTTTGAGACCGGCCGCACCGCGCTCAGCCAGTGAGCGCACCGGCCATCCCTATATAGGATCTGAACCCGCGGCGGGAGCGCTATTGCGCTCCCAGCGCCGCACTCTCCTGAATGCGCCACAGGCTTGGCCCCACAACAAACATTTAAAAGATGAAATAAAATAAATTGGAATGTATCACCTATAGTAAAGGTGAATACTGCTTTGTGAAATTTTTACTTTTGTAATTTTATATGTGTATTTATAGTGAGTGGGATTTGGTCAAAAATATTTTTAAAAAAACACTGGATAAACCCTGGGAAACTGAATTGCTAGATCAAAGGGTGTATACTTTCTTTTAAATAGCTTTTGGTGTATATTGCCATACTGACCTCCAGAATGACCAAACCATGCTTCATGCCCAATAGTATATAAATAACCTATTTTTCCACATTCACTCTAAAAGACAAATTGTCATTCCTTTTTATTTTTGTTTTCTAAAAGATGACCAGTAAGGGAATCTTAACCCTTGACTTGGTGTTGTCAAAACCACACTCTCCAAAGTGAGCTAACCGGCCATCCCTATACAGGGATCCAAACCCATGGCCTTGATGTTATCAGCACCACACTCTCCCGAGTGAGCCATGGGCTGGCCCAGAAAATTATTTCTTTCTGATGCTAAGAGATATTGAACTTGGTTTTGCTTATTACAAATATATTCTAATTTTGAAATACTCAGAATTTATTATATCATTTAAAAATATGTAAAGTATTCACTGCATAGAAAGCTGCTATAAAAGTGCTCTCAATCTTCTCTGAATACTTATATTCATTTTATTTATAATCCTTGCATGGCAGAGCAACATAATGCAAAGACTAAAAGGACATTTAGGTTTTAGGCCCGGCTCTAGTAACAGTCATCTATCCATATGAACTCAAGAAGTTAATTACCCTCCTTATACCTACCTTTACTCTTTATGGAGAATATTCTGATCATTTTGTTAAAAGTTAATATTTACTGAGCACTTATAATATGCCAGGATCAGTGCTAAATGCTTTGCATGCTTTATCTCATTTAATAGTTACAAATAACTCTAAAATAAGTAGTTTTATACCTCCTAATTTACAAATGAGGAAAATGAGGCTCAGAGAAATTAAGCAAATTAGTCAGTGGCATTATCTGGAGCACAAAGTTAAGTTTGTCTGACTCTATAGTCAACAATCTTACTTGCTATGCTATAAATTACAAGATAATTTTTTTCTAAGAATCTCTACTGTCAATAGCAATGATTCTGTAGACATGTGATTGTCTAAAGCAAAAAACACCTACATAATTCAGTAACTCTAACAGTGGAGACTGAATTAATGAAATTATAATCAAATGGCTCCCCCTGACGGCTGACTCTTGGAACTACAATATGAGGAACAATTTCTCCCTTAATGAAAGCTAACATATACATTAATAATAAACTCCCTATTCTCAATAGGTCATGTTTTTAGACAGCAATGAGGAAACAAACTCTAGACAAAATTTCTATGTGAAACCCTTTTAAAGGGCCTCTTGCGATATATTTTGGGAAAGTCAGTCAGAAAGTCACAGAGTAGAAGATAATACAGCTTGAGAATATGCCAAATGTAAAATTTCTCTCCTGTACAAATAAATATTAGGCTCAGACCATCATAGTTATGTCAAACAGGCTATATTCTGAAGATTATAGGAAAAAATAGCTAATTATATCTTAGCAGCTACATATGACAAAGATCCTGACAAGTAACTAGCAAACATCTGGAGTCTTGGTTCTAAAGTTTCTGAACTTCCTTACTGTACGGGGTAGTCCCCACATCGCAAAGCTTTGAGTACACTTCTACTCTATTTTCTTTATTCTATTTGCAAATGTGTGTGTTTTTTCTTGACCTTTTTTCCTATACATAGGGTTGGTTTTTCTTTTTTAAAAATAGTTGAAAATAAATTATATACACAATTTTTAAATTCTTAAAGATTCTACATTTATGTGGTTCAAAAAATATAAAAATCAACAAGGTAAAATATATTTCTTATCTCCCCAACTCCATAGGTAACCACTGTTACTTGTAAAAATAGAAACCATGAGTAGGTAGCACTGACTTCACTGTGTATGTGCAAGCTATGAAAGCCTCTTCCATCCCTGTTAAGGAGAGTGCTGTCTCTACTTCCTTTCCTATGACACAAGTGCTCTTTCTGTTTGATGAGACCCAATAAAGATTTTCACTCTATGTCTCACCATTTTGGCTAATTTGATAAGTTACACCATTGTCTTACAACAGAAAAAGCACAAGTAATTGGGAAATTAGCTATAATATCTGTTCACTTTAGGATCATTAATAACTCTAAAAGCATTAATTTAATAAATATTTACTGAGTATCTACTCTGTACCAGGCACTAAAAAGAAAGGAATACTTTAATAATTACTTTAAAGATGGTAATATTTCCCCAAATTATTAAAATTAGGGGGCAAAAAACTGTTAAACAATAAGCCCCCACAAGTAGAATCTGAATTATAAAAAATGTTGTTTTCCATTTTCCTACCCTCCACTGTCCAAAACTGAAAACCATTTGCCTATCTTCCAAATAATGGATCTATTTTAGCAAAAATTATTAGCATCATGCTGAGAGCAGTAAAGGAAATAAACTACCTCGTTCTTCAGGTGTGAGGTCACTATCCTCTTCTCCACTGCTTTCTTGTTCCTGAATCCGATACTTTGGCTCCGAGCCTTCAGCAGCAGCTAATCTACAATCATGTACAAAGCAACTAATAGTCTTATTCAACTTTTGAGTCTCATAAAAAAATCTAAAGATCATTAATGTGCTAGCCATAAACCAATGATGAAAATAAAAAGTAAGAGAGTAGGAATGGGTTTAGAAACCAAAAAGCAAAAAGAAGAGTGGGATGAGTGCTAGAAATCAATAAACAGCAAAGGAAGAGAACTTTTGTTTTATGATTTTACTTATTTTTGCCTTTCTCACTTCCATCTTTAAAATGTAGGTGGCAGGATATTTTTTTAAAAATGCACAGGGAACTGACACACCTCAGTATCCCAGGCTCAGGTGCTCTAGTCTTCCTGCCACTTGCATACCTTGCTTTTAATCAAGAAACAAGACTATAAAAGTTGGTATGAAAAAAATCTAGATAAACTTAGCCTTTTATTTACATTTGTACAAATAAAGCAATGTAAAATGCCTTCTTTACTCTGTACAATTAAAAATGGCAAAAATGAAAATGCTTTGTACTCATCAGTACTTACTTCTTAGCTAAGATATCTGGGGTCATGGCTTCAGTGGCTTCTGAATCACTAAATGCATCTTCATCATCACCTATCATACTAGGATGACAAGCACATTGTAATTAATACCTGAAATATAATTTTCCAACTAGAAAAACAAAGTAGAAAAACATAATTCTATTAACCTAGTTAAGATATCAATATATTTATAGCTCTGTTGTCATCTTTGAGGTTTAACTTTAGTTTCTATTCAATGAAATATTTAAAGTACAGCACTAATCAAGAAAAGACTCCAAGTGATTTAAAAAAAAATAATATAACTTGAATCATCTGAAAAAAGTAAAAATACTACAAAGTTTCAATATTCCATCCAGTGGGAGGGAACAAGTAATGAAAAATAAACCACTGTCTGGTTTTATAACATGTATTTGTACATCAATCTTAAGATAGAGATAAATGATCTATGCAAATATAAGCCTAGGTAAAATAACAAAATTAGATCCTAAAGATCTAATTTAGTAAGTTTAAAAGCTATTCAGGTTTCCCACTCTACCACCTAATGAAAAATTTGCTCTCCATTTCACTGAAAAAATGGCATCCTTAATTCTCAAGCCACAGAAAGGTACATGAAGCTACTTCAAAAAGTTCACAGAAAAATTTAATTAAAAAATAATACAAATCCTATGAACTTTTTGAAGACCTCTCCTAGAAAGCAGAACTCAGGTATATATACAAAACTACCAGTTTATACATTTCCTGGTTAATTAAGGAGACAAGTTAAATACATGCTTTCATTTGGATGATGCTCTTTTTCCTAAGGGAAGTTGAAATAAACTCATCAACATTACTGAACTTAATTAAGCAGAGCACGGTAAAATAAATATAATTCGTCAATTTGTAGAATTGTTCTAAAGAAAATTCTAGGTTATGTTAAAATTTACAGATAAATTGTATGTGTGTGTTTGCATATGTTTATGTATATAAAAAAAATAATAACTTTTTGTATCCAAACAGTGTGAGATTCTTAGGTAGTATAACATGATCTTTCTATAAAAAACATCTTCTGGGGCTGGCCCGGTGGCGCACTGGAGAGTGCGCCGCTTGGGAGTGCAGCGGCGCTCCCGCCAAGGGTTCGGATCCCATGTGGAGACCGGTTCCCGCTCACTGGCTGAGCGCGGTGCGGGTGCAACACCGAGGGTTGCGATCCCGTTGCCAGTCCCCGGTATGGGCGCGACACCGAGGGTTGTGATCCCGTTACCGGTCAGTTAAAAAGACAAAAAAGAATAAAAAAAAAAAAAAAATCTTCTGTTAAATAAAACTCTTTTTTAAAAAAAGCCATGAAAGGAACTGGTAAAACTGAGCACTGAACTGATAAAAGTTGAGCACATATTACCTCAATTACTTAGGGACCAAATAACCTTTACATTAACTCTCAGAGAAATGATATGGGTAAGAGGGGAGGAAAAGCAATACCTACCATTTAGATTTCTTATATTTTAAATATTAATAGTCAAAAAATAATAGCTACAACTATTTTTTTAAAATCATGTCTGATCTTAATTCTTCTAGAACAATTATCTCTAACACAGACAAGCAAGGAATGGCTACATTAATGAAAACGAAAAAAGCCCTGACTTTGGATTCTGGTAAAATAAAGGTTTTTGTTTGTTTTTATTATTTTTTAATTTATTATTAGCATATTCATTGTTACAAATTGTGATATTTCTTTATGCCCTTTACTAGACCTGTCACTTCCCAAATCCCTATCCCCTTCCTCCCCCCAATCTCTAGTATTCTTAGGTTTGTTCTCTCCTTCTGAAAGTTCAACATATTGTTGTGGTCTTTTCTTTCTTTCTTTCCTTCATCCCTTCCTCCTTCCTCCTTCCCTCCCCTCCTCCCTTCCTTCCTAGCAGCCAGTTAAAAATAAAGGTTTTAAGATAGGTTTTAAAGTATATGCCTGTAATTAGGAGAAAAATACGTATATAAACTTTTCCCCTCAAATTTCATTAGTATTGAGTTTTAGTGTCTGTACATCCTATTTCATGATTTCTTTCTACTCCTGTCACAATCTTTAACCTCTTCATGTTTATTCTTATTTTTGTTGTTTTTGTTAGTATCAAGTTATCTCAAAATAATCTTTCAAAGTTTTCATCCACTGATTTAAAATACAATATTTCTTAACCTTATTTTAATGGTAACTTCTGGATTTATGTTGACTTACTTTAATGACAATATATTTTAGTTCCGGAAATCTTTATTTTTTCAATACAAGTTAGAGCATAATTTTAATTGGTATTTCTACTTATTTAGAATCTCCATCTTCTCATAATGCTTACTGATGCATTATTTTTGTCTTCATACTGGTTACTACTATACAATACCATTTCACAATTCATTTAAAAAATTCTTGGAGGGGCCGACCCGGTGGCGCACTGCTACAGTGCGCCGCTTGGGAAGCGTGGTGGCGCTTCCGCCGAGGGTTCGGATCCCACATACAGACCAGTTCCCGCTCACTGGCTGAGCGAGGTGCGGGGCAACACTGAGGGTTGCGATCCCGTTGCTGGTCCCGGTCCGGTATGGGCGCAACACTGAGGGTTGCGATCTGTTGCCGGTCACGGGAAAAAAAAAAAAAAAGACAAAAAAAAATTCTTGGAGAGTCAAAACTGCCAAAAATCACAATGTGATTATCTGAAGTAAAACATTATGACAGTTCAAAAATAAGGACATAAAACAGCAATAATGACCACCTATCTTTCGGTGGGTTAAAAAAGAGTTATCGTTCATGCAGTTATCCTTTCCTGCAAAGAGAATGAGTAAGCCCCTGATTTCTACTTGGGAAGCAAACAAGCCCAAATCTCATCTTCCTTTCAAAGAAGGCAAAACTCACTAAACTGGGTGCATCATTAGCAGCTAGCAACCACTGAGGTGCAACAAATAAATGTTTTACTACTATGATCATAATGGACATAATGGATTCCATAATTTTAATGTTACACATTACTTATATTACTACAAAAAAAAAAGTTAGGTTATTAACATAGTTCGTCAGTAACAAAAAATAAAACACAAACTCAAATAGGCTTTATTCAGAAGCTCCTATCAAATGCAAGGTGGAAACAAGTCACAAAAGGAATGATGTCTATTTTATAACATTACCTGTGGTAAGGAGTGCTTGGTTCATCTATTTTCATTAAACCATAGTCTTTGTCTGCTGGATGGTATGTCGCCAGGATGTTCATTTCATCCCACTTCTGGGATTTTTTACTAAAATTAAGAAAAAAAGATCCCTGATGCACATCTAAAATTCATAAGCATTCAAATCCCACATTTAAACTTCTCTTTGACCGCTAACCTCTATTTTACATATACTCTCTTGGAATTGAAACTGACTTATGATAAAAGCCACAAGTAATTTCAGTAAAGTGTCAGTAAATATTTTTAGAACACTTAGTGCCCACATACTAAAAACACAGTATTCAGAATTCACATCAGACATTCAAAATACTACTGTATGATGCTATGACATGCTTAGTCTTCATCTGGCCTACAGAATTAGTAACAACTAAAATCAAAATCTACACATTGCCTGGCCTCAGTAGTTAAGGATTTTTGATCTACTGTATATTGGTAACTCTTGACAAAAAACATAACAGGAATATTTCCTTGGCATAATTTCTTCAGGGATATCTATAACAATCAGAACATAAAGAATCAGAACATAAAACTACAGAGAAAACCTCATTAAATTCAGACGCCACTGAATACTTAGATTGCAAATAAAAATATAGTTTAGTTTTTTTTTTAATCTACAAAAGTAAGGGTTAAGAAATAGTTTATTCTGATTTACTTAAGAGAAATAGAAATGCTTTATAAGTGCTTTAGGGGCATCCACGCATATTCTAAGAAAGTATTTGCACAACTACTTAGGGTGCTCAATAATTAAATACCTTAATTACAAACTCTTACCTATTCATTAAAAAGGACCTCAAAGGCCTCTCTACCAGCCACAATATTTTGTTATATATACAGTTAGTGACTTTGTTATGTACTTCAATGTAAATTTTACACTGATTGAAATCATCCCTTCTGCATTTGGTCCAAATTGGTGAGGTTTTACTGTAGATATTTTCAGTTTCCCAGATCCTGAAATGCCCTTGAAGAATGACATACTTAAATTTTAATATCATATTCCTTTCTCCATGTTCTCAAACGGGTTTGACGAGTCACCTTAAAAATTACACATGCCCACTTCTCGCAGGTGAGCCTGACTTTATGTTCTTTTGCTTTCTACCTTAAGAGGTCTAAAGCGTTCCCATTTCAGACTAAGAAGATTTTTCTTATTGTGGTAAAACATACATAAAATTCACCATTTTAACCATTTTTAAGTATACGATTCTGTCATTAAGTACATTCACACTGTTGTGCAGCCATCACCTTTATCCATCTCCAGAACTTTTTCATGTTCCCCAAATGAAACTCTATATCATTAAATACTAATTCCCCACTTGCCCTTCCTCATAGCCCCCGGCAACTACATTCTAATTTCTGTCTCTATCAACTTGACTACTCCAGGTACCACATAAGTGAAATAATACAGTATTTGTCTTTTTGTAACTGCCTTATTTCACTTAGAATAATATTTTCAAGGCTCATCCATGTTGCAGCATGTGTCAGAATTTCCTTCTTCAAGGCTGAATAATGTTCTACTGCAGACAAACTAAGGTCTATTGACTACAGCTTCGAGCCTCACGTACCCTCCTTTTCTCAAGAGGCAAAGGTTGGCCCAGACGGATATTCCACAGGTGACTGAGACTAATACAACTCTCACTTCTCCCCCCAAAACAATGCCAGAAGTCTCTTCACTATGAAATAGTCGAAAACTTAAAAAATTAAGACATATAGGTCATTACTTTTTTTTTTTTTTTTGGTCTTTTGTGTGACCGGCCGCACCACGCTCAGCCAGTGAGCGCACCGGCCATCCCTTATATAGGATCCGAACCCGCGGTGGGAGCGCCGCACTCTCCCGAGTGCGCCATGGGGTCGGCCCTAGGTCATTACTTTTAAGCACAGAAACAGCATTTCTTGTTTAAAGAACATGGAACTCATACAAATACCCACTCAATCCACCTGAATTTTCAACCAATCAAATTAAAATGTCACTAGTACCCCCCAAAATTCACTTGATTGAACTAGACTGGGTAAACAGACCTTGCTTAAACAATACAGATACTCCTGGACTTTAGAATGGTTTTACATCCTCATTACCCCATCTTAAGTGGAAAAAGTAAGTAAAAAATACATTTAATAACCCAATAAACCCAGTGTAAAGTCAAAACATCATTAAGTCAAACCATGCTAAGTTGGGGGCATCTGTATAGATTTCTGCAGATGCCTAGACTTTTGTCTATCACAGTAATAGTTGGTCTTGTGGCAGAAAACAAAAAAATAAATTTAATTGAGAGACAGACATTTAAGGCTCAAGTTCTAGTTACCATTCACTAATCCTGTAACTAAAGACAAGCCCAATAAACATCCTCTCTGGGGCTATATTTACTCTACATAGAAATGATAATAAAATAGGTTTTAATAACAGTCTTTATGATTTACAGTTGTTGAGACAATCAACTGAAATAATGTCCGTGAAACAATTATAAAACCACCATACAAATATAAAGATTTTAAAAATCTAAAGTCCTATGTTACAAATCCCCAAACATGATCTCACTTAGCACTGTAAGGGACTGAGTTCAGATACGGTATTCTGAAAAGAACTTTAAAAGTGCTTTTGTATTGAAGTCCTTCTACCTTTTGGCTTACAAGACTCAAAGTTTAAATGATTTTGAAATATTTAAGATCTGCCACAGAATGAGAATTTCTAAAAATCCATCAGTTTTTTATTTCTGACTAAATCTACAGTTTCAGAAATTTTATTTTGTTAAATAGCTCTATTACCTACAAATTTCTGTAAACTTAGAAAACAAATGTTCAGGTCTGCTCATGGCCATATTTATATGGAAACTCACAATGAAAAGAGATACACTTCTAAAGATTAAGATAGCAGAAATGATCAAGGAGCTCTGATTAGCAGGACAATGAAAAAAATGGATACAATTTTAAGAGATTTTTGTGAAGAAAGCAATCCAATTAACAGACGTAGACACACCATACTATAAGTAAATATTCCCTCCTTATAAAGATTTCCTATTAAAGCTACTATAAAGAAATAAAAAAACTAGCACTAATCCATTTACATAAAGTTCAAAAGTAGGCAAAACTAAACTCTGTAGGGATATATACCTAAATGATTACAAAAGTCAGGATAGTGGTTTCTATTAAAAGGAGGAAACTATGATTGGAAACAGAGGGGACATTTCTGAGGTGATGGAAAAGTTCTTTTTCTTAACCAGGATGGTGGTTACATGGGTGTATGCTTTATAATAATTTCTTAAGCTTTAATTTTACATTTATTTTTCTGTATGTGTATTATAAATTTTTTTTTAAATAAATGCATATTAATGACCCTGTTGGGTGCTTCCTAATCTCAAAGTAAAACAAGTTATTTCCTAAATGGTGTTAACAATATTGAATTAAAAATGACAACTTATCATTACTATTTCTTAGGAGAGAAAAAGAATAAAGATGAACCTTTGGAGTCTAAAAGGTGTCTCTAATGGGAGGAAGAGGAGGAGAAGGACACAACACCCTGTAAATCTGTTTTGCAAGATAGTGATAGAAGAATAATAACTACAGGACACAAACAGAAATTACGTTTTCTTTAAATTAAGAATAAAATGTAATGATCACAAACCCAGAACCCAAAGCCATTAAAAATTTTGATTTCTGCATATTTTTTCCACTCTATTATATAAAAATATATATAAGCTATCAATATATATATACATATATAACTGTATTACATGCATTATATCTAAAAATACATATTCTGATATATAAGCTATAAATATATGTATTATATAAGCTGCTTGTGTTTTCTAGTTTTTACCTTTTTAATGACTGCATAATATTCAACAATAAACTACTCAATGTTAGATATTTAGATTGAATCCAAGGTTTTCTTATTTGAAACAAGGCAGAAATAAACATATTTGTGCATATTCTATTCAATAACGTTTTTAGTATAACTTGCTAGGACAGGTGTTTCTGAGTTAAAATTTATCCATGTAGCCATATATGTTTTTTAAAAGAGCAGATATAACACAGTATTTAAAAGCTGTTTTGTTTGTGTGTTTTTTGGCAGCTGGCCAGTAAGGGGATACAAACCTTTGACCTTGGTGTTAGCAGCACCACACTCTAACCAAATGAGTGAGTTGTTTTGTGTTTCTTTGCTCTCATTACCTAACACATTATATGAAAAATGTGCATTTTACTTTCCTTGTATTCATACCCTTTGCCTATCTATTGGAAACCTTCTTATAAATTTGAGTCCTTTAAATTTATATAAATAAACCACATTATATATAATGCCAGTTTTTCCCAAACTGTTTGCCATTTAGTTTACTTTCCCCTGTAAATAGAATTAGAAGTTTCACATATTCAAAGCCTCACTCAACTTCCATTTCCTCAACACAACACTAAGAAAAAAAGAAATCCTTAGAATTATTCAGATCCAACAAAGATAATATCTTGCAAAAACACGCACTTAATAAGGGTATAAAACAATAGGCTCCAAAAAATCTTGGAATTCTTTAGATGGAAAGATAGTGAAGTAGAAGAAACTCTCAGCAGAGAACACTGGATGTAGAAATTAACATGTCAAGTTTTAGTAGAATTAACACTAGTTGTGGAGTAACAAAACCCAAAGAGTGAACATGAGTTTAATCCCAATACCATCATGAACTGAATGAAGTTCTTTGGGTTAACATCTCCACAGACAAAAATAGGGGTAATACCACTACATGGCAGATTTGCTGTGACAGTGAAAGCACCTGCTGGTTTCAGTTTCCCCCTCCCTCTTGGGTGATTGGTTTTCCTACAGCCTAAATCTGGTCCTGAAGAAGTCACTACTTTTCACTTTCGTTAGCTCATATGATGGATGCCATCTCAAAGACCTGCTCAGACTTCTTGTTGCTTGTGACTAGCTTATTTGAAAGTTCTGGCAATGCTTGGAGTGGGAACCAGGATTTTGCTTCAAGGTGTTAAACTTTAATTGCATATTTCAGGAAGTAGTTCTTTTTTTAAATGAAGACTCAACATATGTAGGTCAACAAAATACAAGACTTTCAAACCTGACACCATTACTGAACAATTAGGTAAGATTTAACAATAAAAGCAATTACAGGCCTTCTCTTTGTGGTGAAAGCTGAGTGGAGAGGACAAGAAGGAAAAAGAAAAAAAAAAAAAGGAAAAAAAAAAAAGCAATGACAAGCAAGCAAAAAGTAACTTTTGGAAAACTTTTTATTTTACTCAGTGAGCCTTCGACATAATATTCCACACCCCTCTATAGGCAGAAACGGACAAAGCTGGAGCATGCTTATATCTTAAATTATATCAAAGGAAATTAAATTCAAGTACAATTTTTTCAAGTAGAATTTGCCTGCATTATCTAAGACTTCTATAGAATTCAAACTGAAGAGACATGAACTCCAAAGCAGATTGTGTAAAACAACCCACTGAGTTATAGGAAAAATTAGATTTCTCTATCTCTATTAATAAGACTAACATTTGAAGGTAAGGCACTAAGGGTTAAACACTTTATATTTATTAACTCATTTAATACTCAAACTAAGGCAAAGATATAATGAATAACTTACTGAAAATCACAGCTAATAAAGTCTGCTAATAGTGGCAGACAGGATCCCACCTAGGCAATCTGGCTCCAGATTAACCACTAAACTTTCTGAACTATAATACTTCTCACAAAATAGGCTTTAGTAACATTTAATATCATATTTCAAAAGTTCAAAATGCACATTTTCCACAATTTAATATCTCTGAAAAAGAACATATCTTAAAATGGATGGCATCTTATAATCATAACTGACAGTATTTTTCTTGGTGTTACATCTTAGAGTCAATGATATCTCGTTTTCAGTGAAATTCACACATGTATTCACTAGGTCTGTCGCATTAGACCTTCAGGACTTGTGCACTATATTCAAAGTATCCTGAAAGAAGAATGGAAATTCCACAATCACAGATGATAGTGGCTGAATAATGTGTTGCAATGTACTGAGATTTATCTACGCCTAATTATGTGGATTTAGGAATTCTATCCAGTTTTAATTTAACTAGCCCTCAACATTAAAAACCTGACAAATGGTACTTGAAGAAACCACTCATTGAAGATAATAGTACTATTGCAAAGTATAAAGAGAACAATAAGAAAATAATGGCACTGAGTCATCTAAAAAACAAATAAAAAATGCCCAGTGATGTTTGATCAGTTCTGACAAGAACTGGATAAAAAAATTAAAATGCTAAAGACTACCTGAAATATGGCTTTATATGAACCTTACTTTAAGTGTATATTAAGTCTTGAGAATTATCTAATGGCAGGTAGTATATACATATATGAAGTATAAACACACATTTGAAGTGTGTTTGAACTTTTTTCCTTAAAACAAATCCCTTGGTAATATCCCTTTATGTAAAATATTACCCTCTCACAACAGGAGGGGAGGTGGATAGTGGTCAAACTACCACTGTATTTTACGTGATAAAGGCACCAATAAAAGGTAGGGTTCATCCTCATTATACAAGGATTCTTTACTTGTGAATTCACTTACTTGCTAAAATTTATTTGTAATTCAAAAACCAATATTGAGGCGCTTCAGCACTTGCTCACAGAAAGAAATATGCAGAGCAGGAAAATATTTGAATTGCCCAATGTATACATTCACAGCTGAAGTCAAACAAGGCAATGCTCTGCCTTCTTATTTCAGCTCTCATACTGTATGTACACAAGTGTCCTTTTTGTGGTATATTTAATACCACATTTCTTTGCATTTTGGTTGGTGAATTCACTGTTTAAGATGGCTCCCAAATATAAAGTGCTGTCTAGTGTTCTGCCAGGTAAGCTTCGTTCAGGCATGAGTTATACAGTTGTTGGCTCAGTTCAAAGTTAATAAGCCAACAATACACATCAAATAAGATACCTTTAAATAGAAACACTCAGAAAACAAGGTTATGCATTGATCAGTTAATGAAAATGTGACCAGAGGCTTGTAGGAACCTAATCCCATAGTTCCCCTAGAAGTGAGGGTTCAGTACTCACTAATTCAGTACACATGGGGACTTTATAGAATATAATTACTGTGAGTAATAATATAGTTTGATCCCTGGTCATTTTCACATTAACATGAGATTTTTCTGACTTAAACTCTGTTCCAACATCTGAAGTTGGACCATTACACTACCTTTATGAGGTTTTGAATTTTAAGTGCATTGCAATTTCAAGAGCTACTTATCTTCAGTACTTTTTATACAAAAGGGGGAATATTGGTTGTAATGAAATTAAAATTAAACATTACAAAAAGTTTGTTTCAAATGTATTCAACTATACTTTTATTGTTTCAGTTCAAAGAGGCTCTCCTAAAGTTTCTAATATTGTCTGCATGAACTGTGATATAAATAATAATGTATATTGTATTACTAACAGAATTAGTTTCTTTGCTGTACAGTCATAAAACACTGACCATGAAAAAGCCCATCCCTTTTTACCACTTGGAACCAAACATTGTGAGCCTCAATGAATTAGGGCTTGGTAGCTTCCTTTGAAGAGAGGACTAGACAAGTCACTCACTCACCTTGTAAGTCCCTTTTTGGATGTAAACCACAGCCAATGAGAGAGATCAATGAGAGGGAGAATCAAGGCCAATCCACAGGGTGGGGCCATGGGAAATCACAGCAGATCAAAGTTCAGCATACAGAGAAGTTAAGGAAGCAGAGAAAGATAGAGAAAAAGAATACCCACTTGGTAGCTGGACAAAAAGAAGCTTACACGGGAAAATGGCTAAATAGCATTAAGTACCAGTGAGAACCATATTACTGCTGCTGAATACCCTGAAACTGCGTTACAGCCATACCATTATGTTCTGGTGAGATCCATCGCACCCGGCCGCCCTCCCTCTGGTCACCCCCCGTTTAAAGTTACTTAGCCCAAACAGAGGCTGTAAAACTGCGTGGGAAGGAATGTAAGATTCAAGCATCCAAAAGAGAGTGGGAGTAGGGTAGTTGCTAGAAAAAACTAAGGTCCTTTCCAACCCCAAAAGGCCACGATTCTAAGTTGTGATTCTACTTAATATTTTCTTCAAGGCTAACACAAGTCCCCATAAATATACCACCACCAAGAAATAGTGGTTCCTTTTATGGTCCTAAATTAGATTTTTTTAATACAGGAATGCCTAGTTCCAATATTCTAAGATTTCATGGACATTTTCATTTTAGCTTCACGACTACAAATTCCAGTAACTTTTCTTAACCCTCATTTCCAGAATGCAGAGTCCTTTAATTTTTAGTATCTTAAAACATCCAAGCTCCCTTGCGTGTCTAACCCAGTGGTGTATTTTACACTATAGATACTGTACTGCAACGTTTCTTTCATTGAGCACTGCACCTTGGTTATCTTTCTCTGTGCATAAACGCCTACCCTCCTTTTTTAAAGGCTGGTAAAACGCCTATCTCATTCTTTTTTAAAGGCTGGTATATTGTCCCATTATACAAATGTGCCATAATTAATATTTCACCAGTTTTTACTAATGGACCTTGAGTTGTTTCCAATTATTTACTATCACACATAATGCTTCCGGTCAACATTTTTACATGTGTATCTGCAGAGGATGCAAGAAAAACTAAAGTATCACAGGATCATTTTAGGTTGCTCTTCTCCCAAGTGTTCTGAACCTAGGTATGTCTTTGAACAGGAAAAAATTAGAAAGCATCCAAAACTGTCGTTGCAGGTGCAAAAATAATTAGAAATAAACAGTATTCCATTCAAAAAAGATCGAGGACTTGGAAAATTTGGGCTTCTCTTAGTGCAGAGAAAATGAAAAACCAGGAACTAAGAGAGTGAGCGTGGCACGAGGCTAATGTGGAAATGCTCTCTTTCTTTGCGGGGGTATCTTCTTAGTTTAAACCTAGAGCTAAAGCCAAGGCAAGAAAATACACGTTAATTTTAGCTAGCTCTTGGAGCCGAGGTTAAGAAATAATAAAAAGCTTAACAGCTGAAGCTCTGAAACTCTAAGTTGATTCTATAATGTTCCCAATTGCAGAAAGTTCAAAGATCAGGTTTGCTTAAAAAATATTATATATGCATATGTACTTTTTTTAAAAAAGGAAACACGATAAACGTCATCGCTCCTGCCTTCTTTACATCACTCCACCTTGCGGCTGGCCGGAGAAGGAGGAGACCCGGGCGGCGCCGGAGCCGCATCCAAGCAGTCGCCCTGCCGGCCGGCCGGCCAGCGCTCGGGGTCCGGGTGGGTAACGGCGGCGGCGCGCGAGGCCGCCAGGCCAAGAGGGAGGGGCTTTCCAGGCCGTCCCTCCCGGCTCTCACCTCAGCTCCTCGTCGACATTCCCGCGGGGCTGTTCGGCCGACGACACCACAGAGGAAGTCGTAGAGGTCTTGTTCTTCAAGATCCCCTTGATGGGCCGGTGCGAGGCCGTCGAGGCCGCCATTGCCTGTCGCTCCGGCTGTCGGCTCAGGGTCGCTGCTGGCGTGGGGACCGCGAAGAGAAGGGTCGGGCGCTACAGGAGACCCGCCAGGCAGCTGCGGAGCCCGCTCGGGTCTAAAAGCGGCCGCACCTGCTGTCGCGGAAACGGCTACTCGCGGCTTCGTCACAACTCAACGACCCTGACGCCAGAGCCGACGCCAGAGCCAACGCCGCGCGGCTGGCGGCCCTTCGCGCGCCCTCCGCCACCAGCACTTTACCCGCGACCCGCGGACACAGGCCGGCCTAGTGCCCCAGCGCCGGAGCGACGCCGACGCCAGAACCAAGTGGGCCCGCCCTCTCGCGATATCTAGGGCGGGGGCGGGGCGAGAACAAAGCCAACCTCCTCGCCCCGCCCCCTCCGTACCTCTCGCTTTACTCGCCCAACCCCGCGCGGCGCTGGGAGCCCGGGAGCGGATTCCGAGCCTTCGGAGAGATTGGTTTGCTTGTGTAGACTTGTAGATCTCTCAGGCACCCTCACGCCCACCACTTTATAAGGCCGTATGGTTATTTCTATTTTATAGACCCCTGTAAAACAGAAATAACTATTTCTGAGGCTCAGAGGTGACGTCACTCCCCAAAGAGGTTAGCTGACTTGCAGAGAAATATGTCTGCTCTTTCCAATTAACCCGCATAAAAAGCTTAACTCCCTCTTATGAAATCATGAAATATCAGCATTGGGATGGTCCCTAGAGACATACTATGAAATCATAAGTATTGACTTTTATGAAATCGTAGAATGTCCGCATTGGAAAATTCTAACCCCTTTTACTATTGAAGAAGCTGATTGACAGAGAGGGAAAGTGACCACCACTGTCACATAGCCCATCCATAGCATGTGAAGACGGACAGGGAGAATGCCATGTGACAATGGGGGGTTGATGCATCTACAAGCCAAGGAACACTTGGCCACCAGAAGCCAGGGAAGTACATGGAAAACATTCTGCTCATTCTGCTTCACATTCCAGAGAGAGAGCCAACCCTGCTGCTCTTTGATTGTGGACTTCAAGCCTCCAGAGCTGAGACAATACATCTGTGTTGTTTAAAGACCCCAAGTTTGAACTTTGTTATGGCAGCCCTGTACACCCTCTCTCCTCCAGGTCCCATCTCCACTCCGCAGCTCACTCATCACCAGGCTCTTTCTTCATTAGGCCCCTTCCTCATCCTCATGGTAGGCCAGAGCAGAGCAGACTGAGCCACCTGGAACTGCCACCTCCAGCAGACCATCCCCCCTGTGAATTCACAGACTGCTAAGTCTGGAAGGAACCTTGTTAAGCAGTCCCATGAGGTGGCTGTCCAGCCTCTTTCTCCAGCAACCTCAGTGGCAAGGAGCTCCCCACCCTCTAACGCAGCTTGTTTTATCTTTGTACAGCTCTGAGTCAGAAGTCCTTCCTCAGATGGAGCTGACACCTGGTCTGTCCAGTGGTGTTGGGGTTGGGGTGGGGGGTTCTACACTATGTTAATTGTACTCATGTCTCATCTCTGTTAACAGGGGCTCTGTGCCTGAGGACGACACTCAGTTCTGTGTCCATAGGACCCTTCTCCTCAGGAGCAACTTAAGAGTTCCTGAAACTATTCTTTTATTGTTTGGTCCCAGAACGGGGCTTCAGTAAGGGAATGAATGCTGAATGGAAATAATGGAGGGGACATGAGCAGGAAGGGGAGAAAGGAAAGGGTGTGCTAGTCCTAGAGCTGAAGCTTCCCTAGGAACTTCCCCCATGTAGAGGCCTCCACAGCCACCCTCAGCTCTGGCCCCACCTCTGTTCCCGGTCAAGTGTCCTCACTGTCCTCCATCCCTCCCAGGCCAGGACTGCCCAGTGGATCTGGCATCACACCCTGACAGGCCTGTCCAGCCCATGGGACAGAGAGACGGTTCTCAGTGAAAGGAAGTAGGATGGCTGCCTCTCTTCCTTTCCTGAGTCCTTTTCACCCCAGCTTCCAACACCTGTGTTGCTTCTCCTGCCCTGTCAGCAGGAGCACAGGTCAGCGGTGGTAATCCTGTTTTCAAGGGAATACACAAAACTTCCCTTCGTGTTCTAAATTATTGGGCAGATTGGCTTTGTTCCTGCTTGGGCCTGGCAATCATCACCCTGAACCTGTGACTGGGCCCTTAATTAAGCATTGCCTTGCTTTGAGACCCTCTAATGAAAAGTGCTACCACACTATGACATAATTTTATTACAGTTAATAAACTAAAAGACATTGGAACAGGAGGTGGTGAAGAGTTCCCCAAAGAACCTTGGGAAAATATTTCCCTCAGCAAAAGTTAAACTTTACCTCTTGTACTATTTCTTCCACTCCCAACTCCACCAAAAATGAATGCAGATGAAGAAAACTTCCTTAACACTTAAAAAAATATATATATCTACATAATCTATATATCTATATATATATTAGTTTGGCTGCAAGATTGTGAGTGCCAGTAGAGCTTTTCTTTATATTTTAGTTAAACCACTTTATTCCTCACTGTGCCCCAAAAGAAGATTTCCAAATGCCTCTAAACAGAGCCCTCCTCCTGGCCTCTGCTGAGGTTTGCTCTCATAGGAAGTCATCTGGACCAAAGAACCTAAGCATTGAATTTGGCTGTATTTGTGTTACATTTCCTGTGTGTTGAGGGTTTGGCTGCCAAGAGATGGATTGTGGATGGAATCTTCTGGTTTCAGTTTCTGGAAGCAGCTGTTGAGCTCAAGGCAAATCATATATTTAAGAATATATACACGTCTAAAGATTATCTGGCAATTATCTCTGCTCTAATTTTGAAGGCCGCATCATGGTTGCCTGACCCAATGCAACATACTGGGAGGAGAAGAGGAGACACTTAATGTACCTCCTTAAGTGGCTGAGCCAGTTGGCTCTTTGTTCATTGGAATAAACTAGTAAGGCTGACACCAATGGATTCCCCACGAAGAACAGAATTCCAAAGCTAGAAATGGCTTCCCTGGGTGGCTCCACCCAGCCTGCCTAAATCATCAACCGGGGTCCGCTGAGTAGAGAAGTGGATAGTTCTCCCACCCCAACCTCTGGAAAATTACCCAGAGATTGTGACTTAATGATCACTGAGTCAGCAGCAGCTCCTTGTTTGCCAAGAATAGCACATTATTCTTTTCCTTTTCAGGTAATCCCTCCACTAGACAGGAAGATAACAGATTTTGTAGTACATTGTAGATTATTTAAACAAAATACAAAAAGTATTGAAGAGAAAGAGAAGAGACAATACAGAGAATAATCATTTTCTGTTTTGAAAAATGGCTTTGATTCAGAACACGGAATGCTCCACTGTTTCTTTTCTCTTTGAAAACATCTAGGAAGAGGATTCCTTAACTTCACCACAAAAGCTTCCAAGTGGCCAAAACACTTTTCTCAGAAGACTCACAGAGCATATGCCCCCCTCAGGTACACAAGGTTTCATGAGTCTCTAGATGTTTCCTGATCCTTTAAAAACTAATTAAATCCAAGGACTCTGGAGAAGTACTTACTTTTTTCAAAACCTATGAGACAAAAAGTGGAAAGAAAAAAGAAGGCAGGATAAGTACTAGGATGAGCCTTGGAATGGTAGGTAGAAAATATGAGTTGATTTCTTGGCTAAGCTATGAATTTATCTTGTGCTTGCCAGAAATCACTCCGTTTGTTTTTGTGTGTGTGTGTGTGTGTGTGTGTGTGTGTGTGCGTGTGACTATGAATTTTCTATAAGTGTTAACTTGTTTGGTTTCTAAACTATTGCAAGAAGTAAGCAAGTAGTGCCATCTGTTGTAATTTCGTTGTGTTAATTTTGCCAAATTCTATTGCATCTTTTTATTCTTTGAGCTCATAATGGGATAAGGAGTATAGACTTTGATTCAGAATACATGTGATTTTGGTATGAACACTTCATGGAAAACCCTAAATATATTTTGAAGCCTAGATTGTCATTGTTTATAATAAGGAGACTTTTTTTTACTTTAATACTGTATTTATTTATGCTCACTTGCGTTTGTCCTAGTTTGACATTTCTCAAATATGTAATTTTATTATTTTTATTTGACTGTTGCAACAGTCTCCAGATTGGTCTAGGGACCTCCACTTTCTTCACTGTCCATTTTTCTTCATACTGCTCTCATATTTTTTTAAAAAAATAGGATTATATAATGATCCTTAATTTATAAAGTCAACTCGGCCTTGCCACACAGTGTTAGGCATGGGGCAGACAATTAGATCCTTCCCTCCTTTTTGCTTTTTTGCTCAAGGAGCTCAGTCTTCAATGGCTGCTCATTGAATAGGATAAAGTTCAAATTTCTTGGGCCTTCACAGTCTGGCCCCATCTGTTTTTCTAGGCTCCTTTTCTTTTTGCATCCACTTCCTTTCCTCTGTGTTCTTCACACCAGTCATAATGTCCTTCTTAAGGTTCTGGAGCACTCTGTCTTCCTTCACTTTTTCATGTCATTACTAATCTATGTGAAATGCTGTCCCCCATTCTTGCCCTTCAATTAGCCCAGCTCAAAGGTCACCTCCTCTGACTCCACACAGACAGAGTTAGTCTTTGCCTCCACTGAGATCCCATGGAACTGTCTGCATTCCTCTATCTCAAAGTATCATAATTATCTAAGTGTCTGTCTCTCCCACTGTGACCTCTTTGGGAACAGGCACATGTCTTTCTCTTCTTACTCCCCAACAGCTTAACTTAATGAATATAGTGTCTGCTGTAAGAAGCCTTCAATAACTGTTGGTTGAATCAGGGAATAAATGAATAAACTTTTCTGAAATCCTCTCTCCCCAAATAATGATGCCCATAAAGACATTGATTTGTTGGAAAGCAATCTGATTATATGTCTTGTTCTACGTGGCAGAGTGCAGTATTAACAGCTATAATACTGGAAAGGAGATAATAGAAATAAGAAAGACTGCTGAGTAGGCAGAAAAAGCATTAAAAGGAGGAGGTTGTCCTGTCAACAATCAGTCAGAAATCTTTATTGAGGGCTGGTATGTGTCAGGCCCTTTTGTAGGTCCTGTCTATTGCTTGATTTCATAAAACAAACTACAGTAGGCATTTCCTTTCTTTTCATGTTAGGTCCAGAATGCTTTCTAAAAAAATTTTTTGTTATTAGACACACGGACCCCAAGGTATATTTGTTTCTCCCAGCTTTGGTTATGTGCTCTGGGAGAGTAACATTGCTGATTTCACAAAGGTTTGTCTACGTGTTTGTGTCAGTCAGGTGTTCTTATTAAGTGGTCCCATGCTCTGAATAGAATTCAAGACCCTCTGTGTTTTCCTGTGGCTAGGGCAGGTCGGGGTGGGGAAACTGAATAGA